AGGGTGCACTCCGGGCTGGGGCTTCGAGGCGGATCCACGCCTCACTGGTGCAGGGGCATCTGCGGACGCTGCCTGCAGGGGAAGGCGGAGAGCGGCGGGCCGGCAGAAGGCCTCTGTGCGCGACTCTATCTCCGAGTGCGCTGACTCTACTGCATCCACTTGCTTCTTATCTGCATTTGGGGGACAGGGAGTGGTTGGAGAATGGTCTCTACAAATACACTAACTCAGAAAAAAACTTTAAGTATTAGACAGCTCATATTAATCCAAGCACATTCAGTTGTCATTCGGGATAATTTCCACGATACTGTTGTAGCATTAAAAGACTGGAAATAACCCAAAATGTATACAAACAGGAAACCAACTGAATAAATTAAGGTGCATCCTGGGGGCACCTGGCACATACCCTTGATCTCAGGGTTGTGAGTTCAAGCCCCAGCCTACCAAAAAAAAAAGAAAGAAAGAAAAGAAAAGAAAAGAAAAAAAAGGTACATCCATACAATAGACTCCTAGGTAATCATTAAAAGAATGAGGCCAAGCTTTGTGTACTTGGATACAGCTAAGGTATTTTATTAATTTTTTTTAGATTTATTTATTTATTTATTTGACAGAGAAATCACAAGCAGGTAGAGAGGCAGGCGGTGGGGGGGGGCGGGGAGCAGGCTCCCTGCTGAGCAGAGAGCCCAATGCGGGCCTCGATCCCAGGATCCCAAGACCATGACCTGAGCCAAAGGCAGAGGCTTAAAGCACTGAGCCACCCAGACTCCCTATCTAAGGTATTTTAAATGAAGAGTACCACCAATTGTTTTTTTTAAGTGGGTGGGGAACTGTATGTTTTTATACAAATAGAACTTTTCTGGGAAAAATAAAGAAACTAACTATAAAAGTGGCCCACAGAAGGGACTGAGGGACTGGGGGTCTCAGTTAAGGAATACACTCTTTTTCACAATTCAAAAACATTTTACTATGTACACATCTCCCTATTTTTAAAAAATCAGTAAGTATTTAAGTCTATGATTATGACAAAATCAAAGCGGTGGAAGGAAAAGTGTTGCCTCTTAACAGCAATCTTACTTTTCTTACCTATCTCTAAATTCTTTGTGGCAAATATTTGCATTTATTTAAACAAAAGTAGATATAGAGAGGTCCACTCTGCCCTCCTCCTTCAAAACCATGATAATGTTCAATTTCTAGACATAATGCTAAAAAAAAAAAATTGCACTTGCTTCCCCAACCAAGATGCATAAATCTCTTAAATGTTTCCCTTTGTCGTAACCAAAGTTTAAATGATTCAAATATATTAAAAAATCCATAACTGAAGTTCAGTTACATTTCATGTTATTATTACGTTCCAATCACATTTTATGAGAAACAGTTTCCTCTAAGATCGTCTTATTGCTAAACCAACAAAGAACTTTGGTATTACTGAAGAGTCCAAATTTCCTAAACTCGCCCCAGCCAAAAGTTACTTCAGTCATAAACTAGAGGGTCCCCCCATAGCTTCAATATTTCCCAAACTTCCCCATTTCCAAAAAGGACTGGGGAGGGAGGATGCAGGCAAAGCCCAAGTAAGTGTGTCCGACCTTCTTCCACCTCTGTGGATGCCTTCCCTGGTCTCAGGGCCCCCAGAACACGGACTCAATGAACAACAGCGGGAGGACAGTGGATCCACTGGGTCTGATTCCGAAGCCCCGAATCAGTCACATGTACCAGTCACACCGGGCAAACCAAATGGCGAGTGCTGTTGCCCCACCCCACACCCACAGAGAACGGGGCTGCTGGCAGCCGTCTCTGTACCCACCACCATGAGAAGTGAAGCAAATGCCTGGAGCTAATGCCCTTCACCCGGATTTTTACTAACAGAAATGTGCTTCTTAAGGATGTATAAATGTGCAGGTGCCCTGGCAAAAATAATGACATAAGTTAATATGCTAATGAAAACAAAAGAAATGTTGCTAACCTAAAAGATTAACTAAAACAGACACTCCAAGCAGCAAAATATGACAAAATATTGACTCCTCATAAAAAAATTTCTGAACATCCAGAACTGAACTGTAATACTGTACAAAAATGTCCAGGCTTAGAAAAAAAAAATTACTCCTTAGATCATTTACAAGTTGGTTGTTTATTCACACCCCCATGTAACATATATGTATTTGCCATGCACTGTTCTCAGTACCAGGCGTGCCATGCTGATTAAGACAGACCCAGTCCCTCCTCGTACCCTGTTGGTGGGAATGCTAACTTGTGCAGCCACTGTGGAAGACAGCATGGAAGTTCCTCAAAATGTTAAAAATAAAACTACCCTCCAATCCAGCAATTGCCCTAGTGGGTATTTACCCCCAAAAAAATACAAAAACGTTAATTGAAACAGAAACACACAGGGCGCCTGGGTGGCTCATTGGTTAAACGTCTGCCTTGGGCTCAGGTCATGATCCCAGAGTCCTGGGATCAAGCCCCACGTCGAGCCCCACGTCGGGCTCCCTGCTCAGCAGGGAGTCTGCTCCTCCCTCTCCCACTCTCCCTGCTTGTGCCTGCTCTTTCTCTCTCTGCCAAATAAACAAATATGATCTTTTAAAAAAATAATAAGAAAGAAAGAAAAGAAACAGATACATGCACCCCTATGTTACTGCAGCATTATTTACAAGAGCTAAATTATGGAAGCCAGCTCAAGTGTCCATCGACAGATGAATGGAGAAAGAAGATGTGGCATATATATACAGTGGAATATTATTCAGCTGCAAAAAGAAGGAAGTCTTGCCATTTCCAACATGGATGGAGCTAGAGAATATTACGCTAAGTTAAATAAGTCAGTCAGAGAAAGACAAATACTGTATGATTTCACTCAAATGAGGAATTTAAGAACAAACAAGCAAAGGGAAAAAGAGAGAGAGGTAAACCATGAAACAGACTCTTAACTCAAGAGAACAAACTGATGGTAACCAGAGGGGAGGTGGGGGGCGGGGGGAAATGGTTGAAACAGGTGATGGGCATCAAGGAGGACATGCGTGATGAGCACCAGATATTGTATGGACGTGCTGAATCATTCTATTGTACACCTGAAACTAATATAACACTGTTAACTACACTGGAATTAAGATTAAAACTTTAATTAAAAAAAAAAAAAAAGACCCAGTTCCTGTCTTCATGAAGTTTACAAGAGTAAACACAAGAACAAGGCATCAGGGCATTGTCTAGTTCTGTCACAAGAAACAATAAGGAAAAACATCCTCAGAGTAGATTTTCATATTCTCTAGAGTGTGGCTTCAAAGCATATATAATAAATTGAAACTTTTAATTTAAATTTTAAAATGAGCTGAAATAAGATAATTTCATATAGCGATAAGTGCCACAAAGAAAACCAAACACTAACGAGAACGTAGCGCCTGGAGTGGAGGTAAGGATGTTGAAGGAAGGTTTCATCCCTGAGCCGAACCCCTTCTGGTGAAAAGGAACAAACGCTAACAAGCGTGGTATGCTTGGAGGGACAGGGAACCCATGAGGCTGTGCTGTGGGAAAGTGGTGGGAAAGTGGCAGAGAGGACTGGACAAACCACAAAGGGCATTATAGGCCACAAAAGGAGTTTGGATTTTATTCTAATGACTGTGGAAAGTCACTGGCAGCCTCGAAGCCTGGGAGTGACAAGAGGGAATCTGATTAAACATAATAGCTTCTTGTTTAGAACACAATCCATCTTCAAGGAGAAAGAACATTACAAGCCGCCGTGCGGCAATGTCGCTTCTGTGCCCTCATCAGCCATAGCTGCTCCGCTCTCTACTCTCCGCTAGGTTGTGTGCAAGGTACCATACACAGGGTCTCTGATCTTGAGCTCACAGCCTGGTGGAGATGAGAAGCACGGGACAGATGATTATAGCTGTGATATTTGTAAGAGTGGAGCATGTAGGGGTGCCTGGGGGGCTCAGTGGGTTAAAGCCTCTGCCTTCGGCTCAGGTCATGATCCCAGAGTCCTGGGATCGAGTCCCGCATCGGGCTCTCTGCTTAGTGGGGAGCCTGCTTCCTCCTCTCTCTCTGCCTGCCTCTCTGCCTACTTGTGATCTCTGTCTGTCAAATAAATAAATAAAATCTTTAAAAAAAAAAAAAAGAGTGGAGCACGTACAACGCCAGCGAGCACCCAGGGCAAAGGGTAACCGGGCCTGGAGGAGTCCAGGCAGGACGACCTCACACAAGACTGGAATCAGAGTCCTGTAGAGGGCAAGCAGGGATTTCCTCAGTGCACTCCCCTCTGGGCAACACCCAAGCCACTGGTGGGACACAAGAAAATGTAGGCGCTACAAAGACTCCTTCTTTTAAAGTATATTACGTAGGATTTTTATGGTGGAATGGAGGAAAAAAGTTAACACATAAAACTTGCAACCGCAACTTCACAGGTATTGGTTAAATACAATTTTATTAAGAACTTCAAAAGCACAAACTTCTAGTTTTAAAATAGATTAAGTCCTAGAGATTAACATGCAGCACGGCAACTATAGGTAGTAACACTGTACCACGTATTTGCTAAGAGAATAAAAGAGTTCTTATCACAAGAGAAAAAAGGCTTTTGTTAGCTGTGTGTGGTAACGGATGTTAACCAGACTTATTGCGGAGGCCGTCCCCCAATATATACAAATACTGAACCATTACGCTGTACACCTGAAACCAATACAATGTTGTATGTCAACTGTAGCCCAACTTTAAAATTAATAATCTTTTAAAAAGAACTTTATCTGTGTGTGTGTGTGTCTGTCTGTCTGTCTGTTACCCATCATGAGCTGGGGTTAAAGACTCTTTTGAATACCAACTTTCTCGCAGTCATTTTTATGCTCCCCAACCAATACAGGCTTTCATCAAAGTTTTCAGAGATGTAGAAAAAGTTCCAAATATTCTCTACTTGGATTAAAAAAATGATTAACAATCTCCTGAAAGCTTTCTCTGTGTCTGCACACGGGCATATACATGTACTTCCAGAGCTACCTGGAAGTGTTGGAGACATGATGACATCTCACCTCTAAACTCTTCAGCTGCTGTCCCCCAGTAGAAAGGGCATTCTCCTATATAATCACAACACTATTAGTACACCTAAAAAAAAGAGAAAAAAGAAAAAATATCAACAACTCTTTAATATCATTTATCATCAGGTACATAGTTTCAAAATTTTTTAAATACAAGGAAAGGGTTTTATTGAGAAACTTACTGAAGGAATGTATTTTCATAAACTGATTAGATTTACTATTATTTATATTTCACTATTTTTCATTTCTTTTTTTTTAAGCTTTTTTAAAATTTATTTATTTGACAGGCAGAGATCACAAAGTAGGCAGAGAGGCAGGCAGAGAGAGAGAGGAGGAAGCAGGCTCCCCGCTGAGCAGACAGCCCAATGCGGGGCTCGATCCCAGGACCCCGGGATCATGACCTGAGCCAAAGGCAGAGGCTTTAACCACAGAGCCACCCGGGTACCCCACTATTTTTCATTTCTAAATGTAATAATACTTTTAAGTTAAAAGTCTAATTTTTAGGGGCACCTGCGTGGCTCAGTTGCTTAAGCATCTGTCTTCAGCTCAGGTCATGATCTCGGGAGTCCGGGGATGGAGCCTGCATGGTTGTGGTCCGGCTCCCTGCTCAGCAAGGACTCTGCTTCTCCCCCTCCCTTTGCCCCTCCGTCCCGTGTGCACTTTCTCTCAAATAAATAAATAAAATCTTTTTTTAAAAAAAGATCAATTGTTAAAAGTCAATTTGCTAAATATTACAAGAATGATTATAGTAATCAAACATGGCAAAAAAGTGTGAAAGTGGTCCATGCAAGACTGACATTTTGGAAGTGCTGTGTTAGTGGAAGGACACTCTAGACAAAAGGACCTCCCAGGAAAAGGATGCATGAAGAGCAGGGTGTCAGTGAGGGAGAGGGAGGTGAGTGGGACGGTCACTGAAGGGAAGCTCTGTGAGGGCTCTGCCTGCTTTCCTGAAGAGTCTGGACTTCACCCTACTGGCAGTGGAAGTTTTACACTATACAATCACGTCTGTTGACAAAGTTCTTCTGGCCACAGTCTGTCAGATGGACTGGAGAGCAGGGAAGATTGCGGCAGGGGCAGGGCATTTGGAGTTAAGAGAACAAGGTTTATACTTTTCACTGCAAATATTTTAGTTACATTATGGGTTGAATAAACCTGCTATACTGGTAAAGGGACAAAACAAAAACATAAAATTAAACTAAGCTTATCTTGAATGTTCATGTTACTGAAATGCAGCTTTAAAGACAGAAAGGTACAGTCAGGAGAGACTAAATTTTGAAAGGAGCCCTTGGGCACTTGTGAAGTTTTCAGCATTTAATGGAGCTGGCTCTTTTTAATACCCAGTTTCACTTTCCAAAGTGGCTTTCCTTTTCCTTGGCAAGATTCATCACTGGCACTAATTTTGTATTTATCAGTCACAATTAAAACTTACCAAAGGAAAACCAATGGGAAAGAGGTGGGGTGCAAAACAGATAAAGCGATTTTCAAATACACAGAGTGCCCTCAGGACACTACTGGCAGTAACTGCAGGAGCTCCGTGCACAGAGTCCAGGGGCCAGATGCCAAACCTGCCTCGAGGAGGAGGAGGCGGAGGGCAGCACTGGGAGGCTGGCTAAGGGCAGGACCGGACACTGGCCCTTCACTCCCTTCCTCCCCCGGACACCTCTACTTGTGTTTATGTTACACACTGCGCTTCCTAGAAAGATTCATTTGAACAAAATGTTCCTTAGCTTTAAAAATGTCTCAAAGCAAAGGAGTCAGATTTGCATGAATATTCCTAAATCGGAGGCTGGTAATTCAAGAAGACTCTGCGTTCCACAAGAGAGCTGCCGGGGGACAAAACAAACACCATCACTGAAGAGGAACATCAAGAAAGAGACCTGGGCAGAAAGGCCTGCTGGAGGAGCAGCAGCTTCAGGGTAGAATGAGGGGCTGTGGGTTGTCTAGGACCTGCGTCTTTTGAGGGCCCAGTGAGGCAACCAAACTGGAGATCCAGACAGCAAGCGACATGTGGATGTAAAGCTTAGCAGAAAGGGTTAGGAAGGCACAAGGGCTAGGGGAAGGTGAACGTGGATGAATCCACCAAGACAGATGTAAACAGAGAAACAAGGGAAGGTCTGAAAAAGTCACAGAAGGCAAAAGAAAAGGCTCTTCCTTAAGACAGAACCCCGGGGGCCACGCACGCACAGGGCCACTTCAAGAGGGGACCCTAAATGCGAGATAGCCTGTGTCCAAGAACAGAGAGAGCACAGGCTAGACAGCTTGGGGGTGGTAGTCTACGAAGCAGAGGTTGCAGAAGGACAACAGGGCAAGAGTAAGGGTACTGGCTAGGAAGCAAGTGAAAGACTGGATAATGGGTCCAGGTCTGAAGGGGCTGGAACTCTGAGAGAAAAAGGAGATCACAATGAGGTCCAAGATGAGACAGGGGAATACAGAAGCCCCTCGAGGAAGCTACAGAAGAACAGCACACCAAAACTTAAGATTTTGCTAGTAGAGGTGTTCTGGAAAGAGCTCCTTTTAGACAAGTTCACAGGAAGCCAAAATCGGAGTAAAGGGTTGGGACAATGTCTTCAGAACCCTGTAATGCCTTAAGGAGGCAGCAGGAGTCCTGCAATCCTCCCCTCCAGCACTCACTGCAGAGAAGGGACACCCACCCTAGCAGGGAAGGCCAGAGCTGGGCCTACCCAGCCCCTTGTCATGCCTACTACAGGCAACAGGGTCTGGCAAAAGTCATTTAAAGCTGCTCTCAGTTCACCCAGGAGCCTCTATCTCCCCATAAGGAAAACAGGGCCCCAATAACATCTAGGAGATCTAAGTTTGTTTTCCAATTTGTGTAAAATGTTACTTGTATTAAAAATAATAATAACTGTGCATATTTTAAATGCAAATATAACTCGTGCTTGAGGACTGGGAAATTAGCTTTAAAAAGGAAACAAAATGGAGGTGGCTGCTGGGTCAGTTGGTAGAGCTTGTGTCGCTTGATCTCAGGGCTGTGAGTTCAAACCCCACACTGGGCAGGTAGCTTACTTACAAAAAAATAACAAATCTAACAGTTTACTTACAAACCCCAATGCTTATTTTAAAAATTAACAAACTGACTCGTATATAAACTGGTCTCTTCACAATATCTAACTGACAATTCAGGAGCAAGACACACACCAGGGAGAGAATGGAGTAAAAGGTGCTCATTAGTGTGCTAGGGAGAGTATCAACCACCAAAGAAACGGACACATTCAGAAAAACCTTACTAATTCTAAGCAGCAACTAACCACTCTGATTTCCTTAAGAACTGAGAAGTTAAGGCACCAAAAAAAAAAAAAAAAAAACCAACCACCCAGGCTTCACAACATTGTCAATTTTTCAAGGGTTTCAAGAAAAATAGTCAAAAGCAGCCTCGTCAAGAAGATAGTGACGGGGTGGGGATCCAGAGGTACCCCCAAAGGACCCGCCCTCCCCCAGTAACGGACGGCATTCGGGAGAGTCACCCCATGCGTACTGCACGACCACAGGCCAGGCACTAAGAGTCAAAACAATAGTGAAAGAAAAAACGTCCACCTCTTTGGCCATTCTGGGACTACTGACTGCTCCACTCATAATCCTCAGCTCTGTCAGACCTGCCTTCCCTGTCTGAGACTGGCTATCTGAATGACACAAATGCAAAGTGAAAGCAATGCAATAAACTTAAAATCTGAGGCATTAATTATGTAAAATCATTATTATGCAGGTTATTGAGCCTCTTTAAACCCTCACTAGTTTTCCACGAAACTAGAAGTGAGATGTTCAATATGGCAAAACCTCAACTCACCGGGACAGCTGGCGAATGAGTCACCGCCGACTCGCACCGCTCAGAGCGGAAGGCTTGTTGACGATCTGAGCACAAACTTTCTGGACTCACTGTTCTGGGGAGAGGCTCCAACCCGGACCAACACAGTGAACAGCTGTGATTACCTGGGAAGATAGTCCCAGGACACACAAGGCTCTCTGTCCCCACCCAGGTGAGACCCCAGACTGCAGCGACCCTGCTCTCACGCTCCCGTCCCCCACCCTGCCGGCCCATGCCGCGTCCATCTCTCTGACGTCCCGACAGCCAAGAGTGCCAGGACTGCGTCTGAGGAAGAGGCACCTGGTTCTCACAGCTCTGCGGGCAGCCTCCAGACTCTTCCAAGGGAGAGAAAAGAGCACTCCTGCACAGGGTTCTGTGACCTCTATTTCACCTGCTGCCAAAAATCTTTTTAAAAACGTATTTCCTGGGGCGCCTGGGTGGCTCAGTGGGTTAAAGCCTCTGCTTCGGCTCAGGTCATGATCCCAGGGTCCTGGGATCGAGCCCCGCATCGGGCTCTCTGCTCAGTAGGGAGCCTGCTTCCCCCCTCTCTCCGCCTGCCTCTCTGCCTACTTGTGATCTCTGTCTGTCAAATAAATAAATAAAATCTTTTAAAAAAAAAAAAAAGTATTTCCTGGGCGCCTGGGTGGCTCAGTGGGTTAAGCCGCTGCCTTTGGCTCAGGTCATGATCTCAGGGTCCTAGGATCAAGTCCCTCATCAGGCTCTCTGCTCAGTGGGGAGCCTGTTTCCCTCTCTCTGCCTGCCTCTCTGCCTACTTGTGATCTCTCTCTCTGTCAAATAAATAAAATCTTTAAAAAAAGAAAAACAAAAAAAACGTATTTCCTCACAAGGCAATTCTGATGCACATGCTACGGTAGAGACGAGCCCTGAAGACATGATGGTGAACCAGCCACTCGCCAGAACCCAGATACACAGGACTCCACGTCCCTGAGGCAGCCAGAGCTGTCAGTCGTAAGACGGGAAGTACAATACTGTCTGCCAGGGGCTGGCAGGGAGAGGGAAGGGGGGGGTTACTGTCCATGGCCTTGGGATTTCAGTTTGGGAAGATGAAAACACTCTAGAAATGGAAAGCAGTGGCAACTGAACAACACTGTGAATGTAGTTAATGCTGCTGAGTTGTACATTTTAAAATGGGACATTTTGGGATGCCTGGGTGGCTCAGTCGGTTAAGTGTCTGCCTTCAGCTCAGGTCATGATCCCGGGCTCCTAGGATCGAGCCCTGCATCACT